GGGGGGGGGGGGGGGGGGGGGCGGGGAGGGAGAGGAAGATATAACAACCACAACTTTTTTTTTGAAGTTCTTACAACAAGAAAATGGAGGGGACACACCTGGGTGGGAGGGGGGAGAGGGAGGAGGGAGGGAGGTTTCGGTGATGGGACATAATAATCAACTACATTGTATATTGACAAAATAAAAATAATAAATAAAATAAAATAAAAATAAAAATTAAAAAAAATATATATATAAATCAAACTTCTCCAAACAGCTGTAGAATATAAATAATCTTTACCAAGGCCACATGAGTGTACTATGTTCATACACCAACATACATTATATTCTGGGCCATAAAACAAGTCTCAGTAAATACAAAGGATTGAAATCATACAGAATGGGTAAAATAGAAATCAATAAGAGATATCTGGAAAACCCCTGCATGTATGAAAATTAGACATTCGTCAGTAACCTTTGGGTCAAAGAATTCACATGGAAATTAGAATTTTTTTTTTTTTTTAAAGATGACCGGTAAGGGGATCTTAACCTTTGACTTGGCGCTGTCAGCACCACACTCTCCCAAGTGAGCTAACTGGCCATCCCTATATAGGGATCTGAACCCTTGGCCTTAGTGTTATCAGCATCACACTTTCCCAAGTGAGCTACAGGCCGGCCCAAAATTAGAAAATATTTTAACTGAATAATAATGAAAGTACAATATATAAAAATTTGTGGGATGCCACTAAAGCACTGCTTAGGGGAAAATTTATACCTTTGAATATTTATTAGAAAAAGAAGAAAGGTTTAAAATCAGTGACTTTAGTTTCCTACTTAAGGATATTAACTCATGATTTTACCGAAAAAGGTTAGCAGATTAAGAATTAGAAGGAAACTTTCTCATTGTTATGAAGATCATCTGTGAAAACCTCAAGCTATCATTACATGTAATTAAACATTGAAGTCTCCTTTCAAAGATTGGGAACAAGGCAAGGATATTCACTTTCACTATTTTTATTCAATTAAATAATAAATGTCCTAACCGGGGTAATAATAGGTCAAGAAAATAAATAGAAGGTATAAAGATTGCAGAGAAAAAAAGTAAAATAGTTCCTACTTGCAGATGATATGATTGATCTTATAGAAAATCCTAAAGTATCTCCAAGAAAGCTACTATGTCAAAGAAATTAGTACAGTGGGGTCACAAAATGCAAGGTCAATAAATAAAAAATAATTGTATTTCTTTACTATAAGCAGTAAAGAATTAGAAAATGAAATTTTTAAAAATTTCTTTTATAAGTACACCAAGAAGCCTAAAACCTTAGAAATAAACTTTATAAAAGATGTACAAGAGCTCTACACTGAAAACTACAAAAACAATGCTGGAATAAATTAAAGAACATCAAAATAAATGGAAACTCAATATTATCAAAATATTCATTCTTCCAAAGTTATCACTTCTTGCCCTTTTGGCTAACATGAATTGTATTCTTCCAAACTTGACATATAAATTCAACACAGTCCTAGTCAAAATCTCAATGGGCATTTTTGTAGAAGTTGACCAATTGTCTGTAAAATTTACATGGATAAGCAAAGAACTCATAACGCCCCCAAAAAATCTTTAAAAAAAAGAACAAACTTGTGACATTCACACTATCAGATTTCAAGACTAAAGGGAAAAAATAAAAACATATTACTTGGTAATTGCAAAGGGAAACACAAAACCTTTACAGTGGAGATATCTTATGATCATCATCTGGGGTGGTTAATTTTATATGTCAACTTGGTTGTGCAGGATGACAGATATTTGGTCAAACATTATTCTGGGTAATTCTGTTAAGATATTTTTTGGATGAAATTAACATTTAAAAAAGTGGATTTTGAGTAAAGCAAATTATACCCTCCATAATGTGGGTAAGCCTTATCCAAACAGTTAAAGGCCTTAATAGAACAAAGACTGACCTTCCCTGAGCAAGAAGGAATTCTGCCAGCAGATTGTCTTTGGACTCAAACTGTAACTCTTCCTTGGGTCTCCAACCTACTGATCTATCCTCCAGATTTTGGATTTACGAAGCTTTCACAATCACATGAGCCAGTTATTTAAAATAAATCTATCTCTTTCTATATATATATGCATCCTGTTGATTCTCTTTCTCTGGAGAATCCTGACTAATACTTCATCTTAACCAAGTTATCATATTTAGCATCAAAGAGTATGAAACAAAAGAAAAACAGCAAAAAGTGAATAAATTTTAAAAAGAAAAAAAGTACCAAAGTTAACATTACACAACATAAACTGAAGAATTCTTACAAAAAGTATTAAACCTTATCCAGTCATGTCTTTATTCCTGACTTCTAATTTTGTAAAAACACAGGAGTTAGAGAAACAGATTAGACTTCACCACAATCAGATAAATCCAGAATGTAAAACAGCTGGACTGGCACTTTAGTCAATGTCTTTTTTTAAAAAAGTATTGTATGTCAAGAAACTACAGAGACTTAACTATGTGTGATGAATGTTATGTAATTCTCAATTTCAAAAAAAAATCTGGGGCTGGCCAGTATCCTCAGTGGTTAGAGTGCAGCTTTGTAACACCAAGGTCACGGGTTCAGAACCCTGAACCAGCCAGCCACCAAACAAACAAACAAAAAATAACAATTGAAAAAAAATCTGGAAAAGACATTTGGAGAGCAAATAAAAAGACACATAACCCAATTTAAAATGGGTAAAGGATCTGAATAGACATTTATCCAAAGAAGAGATATAAATGGTCAATAAGCACATGAAAAGATGCTCAATATCATTAGCCATCAGGGAAATGCAAATCAAAACCACAATGAAATGCCACTTCACACTTACTAGGATGGCCATAATCAAAAAGGCAGATAATAACAAGTGTTGCTAGAGATGTAGAGACATTGGAACCATCATACACTGCTGGTAGGAATGTAAAATGGTACAGCTACTTTGTAAAACAGTTTGGCAGTTCCTCAAAAACTTAAACATAGAGTTACCATATGGCTCATCATATGGCCTGGCATTCTACTCCTAGGTATATACCAAGAGAAATGAAAACATATGTCAATACAAAAACTTGTTCATGAATGTTCATAGAAGCATATTCATAATAGCCAAAAAGTGAAATCAACTCAAAATGTCTATCAACTGGTGAATGGATAAACCAAATGTGGTAAATATGTAAAATGGAATATTATTCAGCCATAAAAAGTAATGAAGTACTGGTACATAGTACAACACAGATGAACCTTGAAAACTTTATGCTAAGTGAAGGGAGCCAGTCACAAAAGACCGATAGTATATTATTCCATTTATATGAAATGTCTAGAATAGGCAAATCCGTAGAGACAGAAAGTAGATTAGTCATTGCCAGGATCTGGGGGAAGGGAAGGACTGGTATAGGGTTTCTTTTTGAGATAATGAAAATGTTCCAATATTAGATAGTTAGGATGGTTGTACAACTTTGTGAATACACTAAAAACCACTGAATTATACACTTTAAAGGGTAAATTTTATGTCGTGTGAATTATATCTCAATAAAGCTGCTATAAAAAAAGTAATCTGCCTCTTTACTTCCTGGTGTCATTTTAACATGTTTCTCTACCTCCTTATACTCGTATTTCCTGTAAATGAAAATTATCTGCAGAATCTTCAGGTTAAACTTTTATTTTTATTATTATTATTTTTTTGTCTTTTATCTTTTTCCGTGTCCGGCAATGGATCGCAACCCTCAGTGTTACCCCCGCACCGGACCGGGGACCGGCAATGGGATCGCAACCCTCAGAGCCGCTCCCACGCCTCGCTCAGCCAGTGAGCAGGAACCGGTCTGTACGTGGGGGAGCCACCGCGCTTCCCAAGCGGCGCACTTATCCAGTGCGCCACCGGGCCGGCCCTAGCCTCAATTTTTTAACTGGAATCTCTTTCTTTATGTGGCAGTAACTGTTTTCTGAGAATACTAATGGTCCCCTGAAAGGAGCAATCTGACTTGCTCTTACCCCACTGGCTTTTGAGACATCTAAAGTAGATGCTTCCCTAGGACATACAAGAATCCAGTGACTAAGTGCACTAAACATAGATGCTAATAAGTGGATATCTATTTTCGACTGGAAAGAAGTGGTTCCTCTAGATCTGAGATGTACCAGAACTGAAAAACATCAAGGGAGCAGCTACCTGAACATTTCCAGTACCAAATGCCATCCACATGCCATTTGAGAGAGTGTATGCCACCATAAATCAAATCCTATTTTTTTATTTTATTTTTTTTTTTTTGTCCTTTTTGAGACCGGCTGCACCGCGCTCAGCCAGTGAGCACTGTGAGTGCACCGGTCAGCCCTATATAGGATCCGAACCCGCAGCGGGAGCGCTGCTGCGCTCCCAGCGCCGCACTCTGCCGAGTGCGCCAGGGGCTCAGCCCTATCAAATCCTATTTTAACAAACCTATGCCAGTGGAAGTTTCAATGTAACCAAATATTTCTAAAATTTTAATAATTTAAAGTAATAATAGTAATAATGCTAGTACAGTAAGAGAAAGAGGATAGTCTCTTGAAATTGATTGTAATGACATATGACAATAACATATGTTATTGTCAATAGGTTGAATTTTAGTCATTCTTAGGTATAGAAAGATTAAAGGATAATAGTTTACTAGAGATGAGAAACAGTACAATGATGGTAAGTCCTTGATGAATAGTAAAAAACAAATGGTATAGTAATTCAAAATTTTCCACTAGTATCCATTTGCAGAGCACCTATTTTGAGCATAATACCCTCCCAGGTAGTGTAGAAGGAAAGAGAAAAAGAAAGTCCCTAACTAAAGTCTTTTATTATAAAATTAGTCAGTTATTCTGAAACTGCTTCTCATTTGTAATAATTTTATATTCTTAAAAACCAAAAGTAATGTTTTCTCTTTTTCTGTAATAGATGCTGTGAGAGAAGTAAGGAAATACTCCTATACTCATACCATTGAGAAGAGCTCAACCAGCAGACATGATGCCCATGAACATACACAGATGAAACTTTTTAGGTCCCAAAGAAATCTTTACATTTCTGGATTTTCATTATTTTTCTGGCTGTAAGTTAAAAAAAAAAAAAAAGAATTGAAGCAGTTTTAAAACACAATTTATATTTCTCTTTCTCATTTTTTTCTATCTGTACTCTAGTTTTTGTTTTACTAATATCTTCATAAAAGAACTCAGGTGATATGCCCAAATAACAAACAATAGTTAGAGCTTGTAAGTTTGCTAGGTCCATAAGGCCTTGCACGATCTGGCCTCTACTTCTCTCTGGAGCCTTGTCACATATTGTTCTCTGATGTGTACAATACATTCCTCCACACTGACCTTCACTATTCATTCATTCATTCATTCTTGCAACAAGTATTTATTGAGTTCTGTGGCGTACCTAGATCCTTACGACTTCAGGGTCTTCACACTAGCTCCTCCTTCTCCCAGAACATTCTTCCTTTCCCTCTTTAGCTGACTAACCCTTACTCATCTGCCAGCCTCTTTCTCAGGGAAGCCTCTGTGGTCATCACTCTCCCTAAAGTAGGCAGATCTCCCGTTATACACTCTCATAGGATATATATACATACTTTAATTTCTAGTATCATTCACAGTTGTAATTAAATACTGTTTAACTCTCCTCAACTAGAACCTAAGCCCCTTAAGGTAACGGATTTTGTTTTGTTTCTTGCTGTGTCCCCAGTGCATAGCATAGTTTATAACACTTAGCAGTTCTTGATTAAGTATCTGTTGAATGAATAATTGAAGATGTTTATTACTACTTCTAACAATGGACGTTATCCATAAACGGATGTGAATGAGAAATTTTTAGGTTTGACTAGCCTTATACAATTCTCTTTAAATAGCAAATTTAGAACTGGGCCAAAAAAAAACCCTCTTATTGGTCCTGTCACCCTATTGGAAATTCTCCTGTTTCTACTCCTCTGAGCTAAAGGCCTCTTTTCACAAGGAAAGTAATTGGGCTATCCAGTTAGCTTACTTGGGAAAACATGGTGCTGGTAATACCGTGGTCATGGGTTTAGATCCCTAGACCAGCCAGCTGCCAAAAAAAAAAACTACCACCTACACAAGAAAAATAATTAAACTAAAAAGTACCGCTGATCCTGTATTTCAAATGCTACTCTTCTAACAAAGATTCCAAAGGAATAAGGCTTGTTTTGACTGGAAGACATGGATTTTGTTTTTTAAATCATGTCCTGCTTAACCACCACCTCCCTCCACCACACCTATCCTGAATAGAGAGTCATTTAACAATGACTTTGTTTTAACGTCATAATTTCTGATGATTGGCCTGGTTATGCATTATTCTGAACTTTTTTAAAATTTTCTTAGAGTGTTGAGACGTCTGGTTACGCTTATTACTCAGCTGGCGAAAGAACTGTCAAACAAAGGAGCGCTTAAATCTCAAGCAGAAAATACTAACAAGGCTGCCAAAAGATTTATGGAAGAGAATGAAAAACTAAAATGGGTATTTAATTTTCTTTGTAAAAATTCGTATGAATGTTGTTGGTGTTCCTAAAGAGTGATATGTTATTTTTCAGCATCAAAAAGGACATTTTTATAATTTATAAGAAGAGAATGACCGTAAATAACAGTATTGATCTATGGAATGATTTTTTTCAATATTATTTTTACTATCCTTTAGATTTGCTTGTTTCCATAATTTCCCACCACAGTGGATTAATGCCATTGGACCTATCTCCTGTGGTTCAAGAAGAACACTATATATTGGGAATATGAATTTTAATTCCTTAATTACTATTAATTTTACTTTATAACCTACAAATCTTTATAATTTTCTGTTTTCATTTCTTTTTTAGTTAAAGTATTTTTTAAGCCTAGTTTTTACGGTTATATAGAAAGCGGAGGAAGGTAATTGATGCTAGATTGATGATTGCATATAATATTTCAAATCTTTAATTTGGTAATGCTGCTAATATTTCTTCTTTGAGAAGCCTATGCTATCCTTTCCCTGACATTCAGGGAGAGTGTGGATCAGGTACTGATGTTTTCCCCGTGAATAAAAAGAAGAACAATGGGAAAATGAAAGACACAAAATTACCTTGAGTATTTTTTTTCTTAAGTTTAAAATTCGAGCCAGATCTCATAGCTTCAGTGTTTACAATTCATCATATTAAGCCCCATAAACTTCACTAATTCCACTTCTTAGAAAAATAAATCAATGGAACCAACCATTCAGAAGTAAAACAGATTTTCTTGAAGAAAGCATTTCTAAAATAATACAGTTAAGATTATTTCTCTTTATTAAAGAAATGCAACCAGTCATTGTACATTACACCAAGTTATATTCATGTAAAAAGTAGTGCTAAGTCCAGCAGTAGAGAATTAAAATCCTTGTCTAAGTCATGAAGCCCAGCCTCTTATAGAAAGAACTATGAGTACCACCTTTCATTAATTTAGCTATTACATGGTACAATATAAGGCTTTCTAAAACCTAAGTAAGGTAATATTGCAAAATATTGTGAATGATGCTACATTACCATAGTTATCTGTTCAAAGCCTGTATTTTACTTTGTATCATCTCTGCCTTTTTTTCTACTACAACGAAAAAGGAAAGAAATACCACTTTTCATAGAAACAGAATCCAAAAGTTTTTATTTGAGTATCAGCATCTTTTAAGGAAATTTTTGAAGTAAATGCACCAGTTTATTTTTTGCTTTGTTTGTTCTATTTTGAAGAGGCGTTGATCCATCAATGTCTTATAAATTTCCCTCGGAAGTAAATATAGATCTTGAAAATCAAGCAGTTGATATTTCTGTATCTCAAAGCAAGCAACAAGTCATTTTTGCTTTTTTTGGAATGTTTCAGCAGCACAATCAACCTCATTATGTACCTTGATGTTATTCACTTCATTTTTCATCCATTGATCTAATTTCTCAAGGGTAAAAACAAAAACACTATCCTCAAAGCTTTGATTAATTATGACAGCTAAATTTAAAAGTACACAGCCTTGTACACATCTTTATAGAACGATTTATCATGTACCAATTTGATTTAAAGTTATACACATCATGTTATAATAATGAATTGTGACTATTAAGACCATTTCTTTGTTTTCCTCTTATTCTTTCAGCTCTAAGAAAATGGAAAATGTTTTTGTAAAGTTTGATATTATTATTTTTCTCATATACACCACATTGTTCTTAAGTTAGTCTTATCCTTCAGGAAAAGCACCTTCCTCAAAATGTTTTTACAACTTTTCTTTTGTAATTGTTTCTCAGAGCCAGCTACGCTTGCAAGGAAGTTCTTTCATGATTGATTCCTTGACACCACCCTCCCACACAGACATGCTTATGCTTCTTTTTTTCTTCTTTTCCTCCCATTTGGTTCTATGCTATTCTGGTTCCTTGCTTCCTGTGTAGCTGTGACCTAATCAGTGGTCCTAGATCATCAAAGGAGGCACAGATCGGCTGGGCTAAAGCCAGTACACAATGGCGAGAAAGTCTGTGAGCTAAATGTAAATACTATCAGTGCCCAGAGTATAACCAATTGACCAATAAAGTAACCAATAAAGGCCAAATGGTGAGAATTTCAGAGATGACCTCTGTTTCAAGGTACTTCATATAAGTTTTGAAATATTAGCTAAGGAAGGATAAAATTGCAAAAACACCTCTTTATTCTCTATTAGAGACATATTATCTAGTGGAAAGTGCATTACTCTGAAATCCAAGAGACTTGGGTGCTAGTTCCAGCTCTACCAGTAATTAGCAATGTGACCTGGGGCAAGTCATCTCATATGTTCTGGGCGTCAAGGTCTCTTAGCTATAAATAATAATAGTTAACACTTTTCCAGGTATTCAGTAGCTTCACAGTAAGATATAGTTAATTCTCACAACAACCCTATGAGGTTGATATTGTTATTATCTGCATTTTATAGATAAGGAAACGGAGGCATAGAAAGGTTAAGTGACTTAAACAAAATCATTCAGTTAATAAGTGACAGAACTGAGATTTAAACCCAAGCAGCCTGACTCTAGAATCCACACATTGTTTTGTGCCCTCAACTCCTATGCTATCATATAAAATGACTTGCACTTGGTGCCTAAGACCCCTTTTTGTTCTGATATTCAGTTAAAGAAATAATTATGAAAGACCAATTAACTTTTAACTGCTTTAAAATAACAACAGTGCTAAAGCTGTCACTTTCACAGATTTTTTTTTTTCCAGCCACTTACCAAGGTGAGATAAGGTGGGTGGGACAGTGAACACTTCTGTTACTGTAGCTGGTAGCTATTGAATTTCAGATTCCCGGACTCTTAGTCTTTCTCTAGCATCAAGTTACATGTAATAAATTTGGACAAGTTTACAGGTGCAGTAATGAAAGCTTATTTACAAGACCAACACAAATCCAACTTTTCCAAGTCAATGGCATAATAATTCAAGCAGTCAGTGTAAACATTCCTGCAACTCAGTGGTTCTCTTCCAATTTGGGTAATCACTGGAGATTGTATGAACTGAATTCAGTTAAGTAACAGCTAGGATTCTTTTGAACTTAAAGTGGGCAACAAATTAAAAGTGATATGGAGGAACTTTTTTTCTTGTCCTCTTTAAAAAAAAAAGATTTTTAATTTCAGAAGGTATGAGGCTTCTTCAGTCTCAGAATGTACTTCAGTCCTCCAATCTCCAAAAAATAGTTTTGGGGATTATATGATATATGCATTAGAGCTTTAATGCCTCCTCCTGTTATAGCACAATAGTACTGTGTTTGGTCTTGTGCTGCAGTTTTTATGCTCTTGTCTCATTCTTTCTACTAAATTTTTGAAGTTACCTGAGAGTTGAGACCATGTTACTCTTATACTATTAGCCCTTATAGCACCTTGCATTGTAAAATATTTGCATGTAGTTGTTGTTCAGTAGGACTTTGTGAGTTTTGTTTGTTGAATATATCAGCTTACATTAGAAAGGGAATCACCCTGCAGTAGAAATTCTTTTCTTATGTCAGTTTGTTTAAAATTCTCCTGAGTTGCTTTTTTACCTGCAGTAGCTGTCAATATCAGGTTGCTTCCACTTTATCTAGTTGCGTGCCGGTGTGTATGTATTTTATTTTTCAAATATTAATTTAATTGTCATTCTTGGTAACTTAAATTCCTAACATTTCTTTAAGTCAGTTTCTTCTAATAATGATGAGTTTCTATCTAAACATACAGATGATGAAATTTTTATTCCATGATGTTTTTATTTTGATCAATTGTTTTACTATTAAGATCTTAATTTTTCTTGCTTAGAAAAGTTAGTCTACAAACATAAACATTTTTAAATCCAGAATAGATTTTAAAATATAAAGAGAATTGAAAAATATTAACTGACCTAAAGTAATTTGGAGACTATTCAATGAAAATTAGAATTTTCAAACCATACAGATGGCTCTGTCATTTTCCACTTACCTATCTCCACCCTGACAATATTCTTATATGCTTCTCTTACAAATTTGACTGCATATAAATAGTCTGAATAGCTCTAAAATCAGAATATAATGGTTTTCCAATTAATGTCATCTTCAGAACTGTTTTTTTTTTTACATTGCACACTTTATTGAGGAAGAGAGGCTCACATTATTTACCCAAATATTTTCGAAAACATAATTTTAACTGTAGCCCAACCAGAAGTTCTTGTTATTTTTAGTTCAGATATTTCAGCCATAATAAGGAGAAATCTTTTTTGTGTATTTGCCAAATATCAAGTTTCTGTTACCAAAAGTACATTGTAGAAAATTATAAAGTACTGAAAAGGATAAAGAATAAAGTAAGGACCAGTAATTTAAAATAGGTTAGTCAGCTCATTTTCTATAAGAATGTCTGGCTATTGCAATCTAAGCTTACTTCTTCCTATAACTCTCTTTTGTTATAGATCTTGAAAAGCTATGGAAAGGATGATGATCACATTTTGGAAGCAGAAAATAAAAAACTAATAGAAGAGCAGGAAAAACTGAAAACTGAATTAAAAAAGACTTCAAATGGTAACTTGGTGTGCATGTGAAAAAGTGAAAAGACTAGCATGATATTTGATGCTGTTACACTTCACTGTTTTCCCTAAAACAAAACAAATACCTAAATGTCCTTCTGGATAGAATACCAAGAATGACCTATTTAGAAATTCCTGCTCAAATATGAAGATAAAACATTGTTTCAGCCAAGAGAAACATGCCCTGTTATACAAAAAAACATGTAGGTGTTTCAAATCTGTGTTGTAAATACAGATCTTCCTGCCTTAGCAAAAGAGCTGTGTTCCTGAAAAGTTGCCTGTAAATGCATTTTTGTAAAACCGAACCACAGTTTTCCAGCATTATATATTGCTTCTTTCAGAGAAGTAATTACACAGTGACGGTTTTGGTTACAAGAAAATATATTGCTTATCTCAAGCCCTAATGTATTCTACCTGCTAGATATAAGGAAAGCATAGGTTAAAAGAGATGGGCAAGCATAGAGTAAGCAACAATCTGGGATGTCAGCTGAGAATTTTGAGTGCTTCATTCCAGAATATATTGCAGTGTAGACTTGGAGTAAAGCATCCTAACCCCATTTAGCTGAAGGCAGCTATTTCTTCTATATTTAAAAAAAGAAAAAAAAAAAAAGTTCTGATAGTATTTCCTTCTTCCTAGTCAAAGAGCAAATCATTATTGCCTGCATCTTCATAGCACAGAAAAGCAGACACCCCAAATCCAATGTCATCCCAGAGAATTCTTGAGTTTAAGTTTGTGACCTGACCCATAGCAACATTTCTGCATATAACAGATATTCTTTGATGTTAGCCAGACACTGGGGAACCTGTACAGCCAGTCAGGGTTAAGGTAATGATCAATGCATAGACCTTCTCCAATTCAGATTTCTTCCACTACTTTACATTGGAGGATATACAGGGACTGAATCAAGGACCTACTTTATATCATTTGTAGGTTTAGAATTTTTTCTTTAAGTAGGTCTCAGTATAATAGAAGTTCCCTGTAATAAAACTTGCTATTATGGAATATCTATTTACATTGTGTGGATATGGTTTACTTCATCAGGATGTATTTGAATTTGAGATAGATGGAAAGTCCAAAATTAAAAGATGATTCTGTAAACAAAACAAAAAAAATCCACTGAGGATATTTGATATGATACAAAATTCTTTAGTCACTTTCCTACTTCTTATTTAAAGCGAGAAAAAAGGAGATAGTTTAGAGGCAGTAAGTTAAAAAATAAATTACCCTTCTAGATAAGGTACTACATCATGTGGTTGGTTTAATATAGCCCCAAATTCAAGAATCTTGTCATAGTTTGTACTGTTGTCTTCTCTGCAAATCCAAAAGATTTGGAACATGATCAATAAATTTTAATGTTTAGAGCTGGCTGGTTAGCTCAGCTGTTTAGAGCTCAGTGGTATAACACCAAGGTCCAGGGTTTGGATCCCCATATAAGCCAGCCACCAAAAAACAAATTTAACATTTTTACTTTTGTATGAAAATGAATTTACTAGTTACCTACGTTCTACAGTAAACATTTCAGAAGAGAAACTAGTATTCTTTTTTTACCCAGCATAAAATGTTGCTGCTAATCCTTTTGAAGAATGTAGGGAGCTATTTCCAAAATACTTCTAATTACTAAAACACACACACACATACATATAAATAGTCTCAAAATCTTGCTTTCGTTTTTATGTATCTGCCAAGGACCTCTTTTCTTATGTTGTGAGCAGAATGGTACAAAAATAAAAGACAGGAATAGCTTGTGTACCATGCTACACCTCTCTTAACCCTGGTCAATTTAGTTTCTTCTTTTGCCTTTCAAAAATTCCAACTCTGAGATATTTTGAGCTTTGACTTTATAAGTCTGATATAAAACTAATCTCAGTATTACATGAGCATTTTTTTAAAAGACAAATCAGATGTTTGGAGAAAATGAACTCTGATAACATAGGCATTGTGTTTATAATCTGATAACAAGAGGTACCAGCTTCTGTGTTTGAAGTGTAGACTGCAAAGCTACTTTCAAAGTAAGTCGGTGTTGACGTAGAAGCAGATTTTACCTGTTTGAGTATGTCCTGTTTGGTTCCTGCAAGATGTGTAATATTTTATGAACACATCTTATTTACCCACAGTTATTTTTTTAGATAACATTCTTAATGACCTTGAGATCAAAGTTCCATTTTCAAAGAAGGTATTTCTTTGGCCATGTTCTCTTGACCTATACCAGTCAAAAACGTTAAGGCAAGACCTAAGAAATTATGTATACTAATAGTGCAGGATTTGGTTGAATTCAGCAATACAATGCTTTGTACATAGTGCCACTAAAAAATATCCATTGATTTTTAAAAATTGAGGGTATTAAGGTAACAATGCTTAAGAATGTTTCAGATAGGTCTTTTATATTTGAAAATTGAGTAAAAAGCAGTGTGGCTTATTTTTCATAGAGGCAAATAGAGTGTTTTCCATATGACTTTCTTACACTTGGTGTTTCTTAAATCTAAGTAAAACATTTCTTTCAAGTATGTTAGTGGAAATAAAGCATAAATATAAATGTTTGTTTAAGCAGGTTAGCCCCAAATTGGAAAAATGGCATTCTGAAGGCAGCTATTAAGAACGTTCTATCAGTAGTGATAAACTGTCAGTTTTTAATCACCAGGTCTGATTTTGGCCAGTTAGTAAACCATTACCTGTGTTTCAGTGTACTAATATCACCCCTAGTAATCCAAAAGAGAGCGTGCATATCCCAAAGCACCTAATTTATACTCAAGACTTACTTAGTCAGGTGTAAGGACCTGATCTGTCATTTTAATGATTTATTTAACAGTAATTCTGATATCCTAGTGTGTCCAGTAATTGGAAAAGGGCACTGCCATGAAAAATGAGAACCTAAGCTTTGAAGAATTTACAAAGCTCACAAGCCCTCATAATAGAAACAGACCTTGTATGTAGTGGAAAACCTTCTTACGTCCAAGGAGATTGACTTCAAAGGGCTCTTCCAGGATAACTACGGGTACTTATTCTTATAAATAAATACCTTTCTGGTATTTATTCTTAGAGCCAGAGGAAATATGTACTATTCAGTCATTGCATGCATCCAGGCAATGGTAAAAGTAGATATTATTTTAAAAGTGATTGTGCTGCATGTGGGAATGTCTGCTTTTTATTCCTTTAAAAGCAGGAATACATCTATGACATGCTATATTAAAAAGGAAATTCTTGGGGCTGTCCTGTTAGCTCAGTTGGTTAGAATGAGGCATTATAACACCAAGGTCAAGGGTTTGGATCCCCATATCAGCCAGCCACCAAAAAAAAAGGGGGGGCTCCCGATCTTATAGTAAAAGTTGAGTAGTAGTATTTCTCATGCAAAGAGGAAAAAAAGAAAAGAAAACAGTAATTAAGACAAATCCCTTGACTCTACCTTTTCATCCTTTCTTTGTTTCCTTTTCTTTTTCTTTCTCTCTCTTTCTTTCCTCAGCAATTTTTAAAAAAATCTTTCCAAATAATTCATTCGTTGCAAAATCTTTTAAAATTGAGCATAATTAACACTTTCCTTAAAACACATACCTATTGAGGGTAAAGCAAATTTTAAGTAAACTACCTAAACAAAGTATATACAAACAGAACAGAAACTGAGCATACAGGCTTATTATGTATACCTAAGTATTGGCAGCATATAATAGACACCTTAGATTTGGACCAGGAAACAGAACCTTCTAGTTCCCTATTTAAAATATTGATAATTCAGTTCTCTTCTGGACAAATGCTTCCATATTTCCTTGATTTACTTTGAAAAGAATAAAATTTTCTTTTACACACTGACTTTACTACTTTTGAAGATGTCACAGTTAAAAAAAAAAAAGATCCTCTATTGCCATTAGCATAAGGACCAGAGAGTGAAAACAGTTGAAGTGCTTTTCAAGAAAAACTGAAGATCAAGACAAGATGGAAGATTACAGGGAATTCCTAGTCTTTATACCAAAAATTCTAAATTCCTACCTCTTGAATCTTAAGAATAAGACATAAAAACACATAAATAAAGGATGGGGGGGAAGAAGACACAACAGTCACAACAATTCCTTGAACTTGTTAAGACAAGAGAACAGATATGTTGTAGTGGAGGGGGGAAGAGGCTGGGGGAGCAACAGGTAGAGGGTCCTGAAAATCAACTACAATGTAAATTGAGAAGTTAAAATGAAAGAAATTTTAAAAAATAAAAAAAAAGAATAAGATATAAGCTTTATATATAAACTTAAAATTATGGGGTTTCGGGCCGGCCCGGTGGCGCACTGCTACAGTGCGCCAGTTGGGAGCGCAGCGGTGCTCCCGCCGAGGGTTCGGATCCCACATACAGACCGGTTCCCGCTCACTGGCTGAGCGAGGTGCGGGCGCGGCGCCGAGGGTTGCGATCCTGTTGCCGGTCCCGGTCCGGTACGGGCGCGACACTGAGGGTTGCGATCCGTTGCCGGACTCGAAAAAAGAGACAAAAAGACAAAAAAAAAAAAAATTATGGGGTTTCAAGTTCCTTACAAATGAACCATATATCTCAAAGTCCAACCTAAGGAGATTTTACAGTTGTAAATTCTTGCAGACATTAACTCATTTATTTTTAACCTGCAGTTATATCAAAGCTACTGTCTTATTTTTAAGTTATTAATGCTTCTTAAAAACAGTTTGTTGTTTTTGGTCATTTTATTGTTCTTTTTGCTTTATTACCTTTTAATGAGCTTTGTGGTTTGAATAAGAAAAAACATGTTTTCCTCCTTTGTTTACATTGTCTGGAAGTTTTTCTTCTTTGATATCTCCTTCCTTTCTTTTATTAGTTGAAAAAAAGCCCATGTTAAAAAATAATAGTATCATTTATTTGTTGGATGTGGCAATTGGCAATATGTAATTAATAGTATATTAATTATTTAAAGCAAATAAAATCTGTGACCCATCCTGTTGGTTAGGTAAATAAAGGTCTTATTAGTATTTATTAGTTAATCTCTATATTATATTCTCATATAGTTGAT